TAAGTTATCCAGGAGGCTGGGCTCTATGAGGAGAAATGTGGGGTCAAGATTGGTGGAAGTCTATCAACAATCTGCATTATGCAGTGACACAGCCCTGCTTGCTGAAACTGAGGAGGACCTGAAGCACTTGCTGCAAAGGGTCAAGGTCTGCAGCCTCCAAATATGGATTGAGGCTCAATGTCAAGACAAAGATCTTACCACTGACCCAATTGGCAGCATCAGGATGGATGGTGAAGAGATTGAGATTGTTCACACCTTTAGTTTGCTTAGCTCCACAGTCAACACTCTTGGCACCAGTAGCTAGGAAATTAAAAGACATATTGTCATGGGAAAGTCTGCTGTCAGGGACCTCTCCAAAGTACTGAAGAGCAATGATGTCTCTTTGGAGACTAAGGTGCGTCTGATACAGGCCATGTTCTTTGCTATCACTTGTTATGCATCAGAAAGTTGGAGAGTGACTAAGGAGGATGGAAGGAGAATTGATGCCTTTGAGCTATGGTGCTGGAGAAGAGTATCGAGGGTACCATGGACTGCTAGGAAAACAAACAGATTCCTCCTGGAAAGGATCAAACTGGGTGGCTCCTTAGAGGCAAGGATTTTGAGGCTCTGTCTAACATACTTTGAACATGTTGTAATGACTGGTCCTTGGAGAGGGACATCATGCTTGGGAGGATGTAAGGACAGCACAGGAGGGGAAGACCCTCTATGAGGTGGATTGATTCAGTGACTGGAGTAATGGGGATGGGTGTCAGAGACAGTGCGATTGGCACAGGATAGAGCAGAGTTCAGGGCTGTTGTACATAGGGTCACTATGAGTCGCAAGCGACTCGACGACACATAACAAAAGTAACAACTTGTTACTTAAAGGCTTTCTTATTTTTAACCCCTCACCCCCACCCAGTTCATTCATTCCTCTGTAAGCAATTTGATGGCACTGGTAAATTTTTCATGTTGTGCAACCATCCCCATCCTCCCTATTTAAGCTGTTTCTCTTTCATCAGCATCAACTCATCATTGCCTCTAAGATTAAGTTAAATCACTATTACAAAACTTTAGAGTTTATTTTTGCAAAGTCTAGAAAGACCCTCTATGAGATGGATTGATTCGGTGACTGGGGTAATTGGGATGGGTGTGTCAGAGGCGGTGCGTTTGGCACAGGACAGAGCAGGGTTTAGGGCTGTTGTGCATAGGGTCGCTATGAGTCGGAAACGACTCGATGGCACATAACAACAACAACAACAACAGAGTCATGCAAATTCTAAATTCTGTTCTGCATTTTACCTACCTTACCAGAATTATACTCTTTAATAAAAATGCTCCAAAATAGTATCCAACTGCCATCCAATTATTTTGGTCTTGTGGCAAAGGACATAGTTGCTTATGGAACCAGGTGAATTGGCTTCAATGCAATGGTACACAACGCTATGTACAACTTTGCTTGTTCATATGTCATGACAATCTCTGCTGTGCTAAGCCTATTGTTGCAGCTACTATGTCACCTATCAGTTAAGCGTCTTCATCTCCTTTTCTGAACCTTTGTAAGCAAGATGGCCTTTCCCAGTGACTCATCATGTGGGGGGCTGTTCATTGAACTGAGCTTATTATTACAACTAATATTCACTCAAAATAATGACGGCATTTTTATTCTACTTTTTCTTACACCAGAGTACAGGTGGCTTTGTTCATTACATATTCCACTATCATTCCCATCTCCCAATTTTCTCGAGATTGTACTTTCCCTCTCATTCCATTCCCAGAGGTGAATCAAAGTACCACTTGTAAAGTTGCAGACACTGAGATTTTTCTGCCATCCTCTGCTGTTTATTCAAACTTTACCCCCAGGTCATAAGAAAACTCATTTTCTATTTTTAAGATGAATACTTTGCTATGTGAAATGATGATCCAATCTGGTTTGGCCATTGTACCCATTTTTCAAAGACTCATTCTCACTCCTAGTTCCTTCATGTATACACGGAATCCTTTGTTATCTATAAGCCACCATCTTCCATCAGCTCCTGCATGATGGCTGTAATTGGTGTGGACTGGCAGCTGTGCAGGGCCGACAGAGAGGGTTCAGTGGGAGACTTGGCATACAACCTGCACTTCTTACAAGCCAGATGTGTTTGCTCTTTTGGCAATCCAGTGTACCTTCAATACCCTTCAACACCACAAGTCAAAGATGCAAATTCCTTGGTCTTCCTCATTCATTGTCCAACTTTTAACATGCATATGAACAAGTGAAAATACTATGGTTTTGACCAGGCACACCTTAGTCTTTAAACTGACATTCTTCCTCATTAGCACTTTAAAGAGGTCCTTGATACCGGATTTGCCCAATGCAATAAGTCTTGATTTCTTGACTGCTGCTTCCATGGGTTTTGATTATGGATTCAAATAAAATGGAATTTTTGTTTACTTTTTCATTCCCGAGGTGAGAATTTTTTTATTTCTTGGTGTTCAGGTATAATTCATACTGAAAGTCTCTGATTTTCTTGAGTAAGTGCTTCAAGGCCTTCTCACTTTCAGCACACAATGTCATCATCCACATAGCATCGGTTGTTCAGTCTTCCCCAACCCTGATGCCATTATTTCTTCATATAGTCCAATTTAAAGTTTATTTGCATAACATACATACAATTTACATAGGTAGAGTGAAAGAATACAACCCTAGGCATACCTTGACTCATTTTAAACCATTTTAATCCCCCTGGTGTGTTTGAATGGCTGCCTCTTGGTCTGTGTACAGACTTCTCATGTGCATGTTTTCCCAGTGTTCTGAAATGTATCTTCTCAGTGTCACCCATAATTTGTCCTTTGACCTTGGTTCATTAGCAACAGCCTCTTAAATCACACCTTATCTAATGCTGTTGTTGTTTACTAGTAGACTAATTCATGGCTGACCCTCCAATGGGCTTTCAGAGGCAGTAAATCACATAGAAGATGGCCTGCCTATCTTTCTCCCTAGCAGCAGCTAGTGGATTTGAATATGATATGCTAATTGAGAGTGTTAACAGCTTCAGTTTGCTTGGCTCTACAATCAACACTCTTGGTACCAGCAGACAGGAAATCAAAAGGTTAATTGCATCAGGAAAGTCTGCAGTCAGACACCTCTCCAGAGTACTGAAAAGCAATGATGTCAGTCTGGAGACCAAAGTGTGCCCGATCCAGGCCATAGTGTTTGCAATTACTTGCTATGTGTCACAAAGCTGGACACTGACTAAGAATGATATAAAGAGCGCTTGAGCTGTGATGTTGGAGAATATTGAATATACAGTGGACTGCCAGGAGAGCAAACAGGTTCATCTTGGAGAGGGTAAAACCAGGCTGCTTCTTGGAGGTAAGGATTCTGAAGGTTCATCTGACATAATTTGGGCATGTTGTAAAGAAGGACCAGTCCTTGGAGAGGGACATCATGCTTGAGAGGGTGGAAGGACAGCACAGGAGAGGAAGACCCTTCATTAGATGGATTGATTCAGTGACTGGGGTAATGGGGGTAGGTGTGTCAGAGACTATAAGATTGGCAAAGGATAGAGCAGGTTTTGGGGCTGTTGTATACAGAGTTGCTATTGAGTTGCAGGTGGCTCAACTGCATATAACAGTAACAACAAAAAAAACACACAAATAAAGGGACTCAAATTAGAGTTGTTGTTGTTGTTAGGATTGTTGTTGTTGTTATGTGCTGTCGAGTCATTTGCGACTCATAGCGACCCTATGTACAACAGCCCTAAACCATGCTCTATCCTGTGCCAATCTCATTGCCTCTGACTCACCCATCCCGATTATCCCAGTCACTGAATCAATCCACCTCATAGAGGGTCTTCCCCT